AACTCATCGGCCTTTTTCAGTATTTCCATTTAGTTTTCAGCGGTGAGACTATATTGACTACATTTTTGGATCATTTTAACAACCCCCTCACTCCCCACCTGCGGTATCTAGTAAAGAATAATTACCCCATTAAAATACTAAATCAACGGTTAAGCATATGCGCATTTTTCACTTAGTAACTAATACTCTTTTGCAATAGGAAGTGGGACATACGAAATTTAAAAAAAATTGTTGGGAATTGCCAATTACTTTTATGGCGCGTTTTTAGTGGCTTGATTGGCTGCGAATTATTTCACTGAAAATTCAAATTCAACCACAATTCATCGCAAAAAGTCAACGATAAGTGAAAACTTAAAGTGAACGGAGTTGAAGCAAAAAAACCTAACATGGAGCGAACAAAGTTTGAATTAAAGGAAATTTTGAAAAGGTAAGCGGAGTTGATTGCAACCTACAGTCTTGTTGAAATATAAGAAATTAACCTCAAGTTTTGATTTACTGTCATACAGACTTTCATGTAGTTCAAAATGGGAAAAAATCAGGGCTTGCAAATGGTTTGAATTGACGCTTGACTGGGTTGATCATCAGTCTTAAAATTTAGCAAAGTAAATGAACTAATATTCAATTAAGATAATTAGTTATTAAAATTTTGGTTTTGACTGCTGTCAATCGATGAAAGATTTAGATTTTGAGCAGATTGTATAAAAAACAAGGCTGAAAAACGTTCACTAAAATATTAAAAAGGCTAACCTTAAGTTAATCCCGGCATTCAAAATGATGTGAGTAACCGTAGACAACTTAGCAATTTAGCGAGTCAGTTATACCACAAATATTCTTCATGCAATTGTACAGATTTGACTTAATAGTTTAAAATGTGATTTTTTGAATTGAATAATCGAAACTTTCAAATTTAAAATGAAATTGTGACGTCGATGTAGTTGACAAGATTCGTCTATCAATCAGCGGAAAAATGACGTTAAAGCATGTGCAAATTCAATTTTGTCGGACAGTATTCAGGCGTGATTTAATTTGATGTGGTTTAATCACTGCTCAAGTGTCGAACAATACCCTGGTGGCTTGTCGAGTGGTTTCTAAATAGCCGACGCTAAAGGCTTCATTAGTTGAGTTGACCAGGAAGTGGTAGTTGGCAAACTGATGGTAATAGTAAAGACGATACAAGCCAACAAAGTTCAAATGATTTCCAAGCTGAAAGTTGAGAATTTTACTGGCAAAAAAGGGTCTTTATAAAGTTTTGGGAGAGGTTTGAAAATCAAGTTGTTCGACTTGTCGTCAAAATGTCGACAAAATTTTTCAAAATTCTAGATCCACGCTAAATTTTAGCGATCGACGTAAAAAAAAATTAGATAACCTTTTTCTATTCATCAGTAAAATGAAAAATTACAAATACAGTTGCTCGGCCGCTGTTTGCTATTTTTTTTTGTATTCTGAACTAATCCTAACCATTACAAAGTAAGTTTCAATGCTTCTAAACTGGTAAGCTAACACAACATTTTCCTATGATGTTTTTACTGATCCCCTGGCTATTCCCGGCTTTTGTTATTAATGTTGTCCATTTTTAGAGTCAGTTTTGTCTTTCACAGACATACTAGTGATTCGAAGAGTAATTAAAACGTTTCCAATAGTTATTCAGCCTACCTACCATCTTGATTGGCCTTGAAGAATTTGTTATGATATTAAGAAAGTTTTGATGTCTACAAAAAACATCTGATAAAATTTTGCTGATTTCAGAAAACACTTACAAAGTAGTTTAATCCGCTTCAGACCAAAAAAAAGTTTGTCTATTGAAAATAAAGCAGTTCATTTATATATATCAGCCGCAAATAAGTATTTCCTTAGCTATTGAAAAGTTTGATCTACGTTTGCGCAGGGTTTATTTATCATTTTTAGCAAATGAAATACAACAAAGAGTGCTAATCAGGAGTTGAAAAAAAACTTTTTGACAAAAAATCATGTTTTTTTTTGCGTAATAGCACACATTGACTAAGTTATCTCATGCGCATATATATGTCAATTTTCTTATTTTCTTTTACTTTCGATGATAACAATAGAAGCATTTAAAATACCTTAACATCTTTTCAGAAACATAAAAAATAATGTTTTAAAAAATTTGATATTGTCTCTGCATATCGACTACTTTCAATTCAGTATAAAAGAACTATGACTTAGGGTGCGATTTTTACAAAGTCAAAGAATTACGTATGGGGTCGAGCAATTAAGCCTTGGCGTGATTCGGATTCAAACAAATAGTTTTTAAAAATTTGTCTGTGTCGCGGAAAAAGGTCTGAACACTTTTGGTTCTCAGACTAAAACAGACAATATAGATAAGACATTGTTGAGCTGATTAAAATAAATTAAAGTTATAACAACGTTTCGCTTGCCTTTCTACCATGTGAAACAAACTCTCAGCTCATGTTTTCTCTTTTTTTATTTTGATCGCTAGAAAAAAAATTTTTTTTTCGGGATGATTAATTATATCCTTGCACTTCTTGCATAAAATTTTCCAGGAAATTTTTTGTTCTTTTAATGAACGTTAGTTTGCATATCTGCTATAGATTTGCTTAATTGTAAAGTTTTTTAGGAACTTAATTGGTTATATCCCCTTAAATAGAGAACACGTACATGAAAATTTTTGCTACAAGATTTGGAGGAAATGGACATAAATCAAGTGAGAACGAAGTCTTTTATCAAAAAGTTTGTGTTTTTTTTTGCTTTCGCTTTTTTTTCCTTAACTTACACTTGTTTAATTATGAGTAAAAATGTGTAATTGCTCTTTAAGAACACGTTTGACCAGAAGATACACTAGAAGATAAAAACCCGCACTCAGTAAAAAAAGAAAATAATCGATTATATTATAATTATAATCGTACTTTTAGCAAAACTATAAGTAATTATATGCGCCAGTTTTAGATGTTTAAACGATTTACATTTTAATAAATTATAATCAATTATAATTGATTATAATTTTTCCGAAAATCTCTTTTAAACTCTTATAATCTCTTGAAATCTATTATAATCTGTTAAAATTGATTATAATCTCTTTTTCTATCAAAATAATATTTTACAAGAAAATTCAATTATAATGGATTATAATTTAGCTATTCTGCATGAAAACACAATAAAAGTCAGTAAGAAGTCAGAATCAGTAAACCGGGGGCGGATCTAGAATTTTTGCGAGGGGGTCTCGTAAACCCTATAAAGGTTGACTGGATTGATTCCAAGCTCTCCCAAGGCATTAAAAAGAACCTGTTCTCGTCACATTTTATGCCCCGCATACAAAATTTTGAAAAAAACGGCCAAAAAAAGCGTTTTCAGGCATTTTTTGGAAAAATTTGACCAAAAAATCAGGGTTTTGTGCAGTGCGCACTCCCACTCAAAATTAGTATACATTGGCGCCCAAGGCGCCTTTAGAAAATTTGTAGGGTCCGTTACCAAAAATGGATATCTCAAAATAGTGGGGGGACCTAAAACTAGTGGGTGGATCTCAAAATAGTGGTTGGAAAATGGGGAGACCTTTTGGGTCGACAGGGGGTCGAATCCTAGAGGGGGATAGGATGGGGGGGGGGGGGGCGTCGGCCACCCTACGCCCCTTCCTATAACCGCTAGTGGCTATAAGTACAAACATAAAATTTCTTTTAGTTCGGTAACCAACTGAAAAGCACACAAAACAAAACAAAACTAAACCGAAATGAAGCGATGACGTTCGTTGAATAATAATGGATTATAATCCATTATAATGGATTATAGTTTAATAAAAATTCAGAAAAAAAATTCATAAAATAATCGATTATAATCGATTAAAAACTTTTATAATGATTTTTATTGTTTCGAAAAATAGTAACATTATAATCCATTTTTAATCGATTATAATCAATTATTTTTGAAATTTATGGAGACTTTAACGTAAAAAATCCATTATAATCTTTTATTTTCTCTTTTTACTGAGTGCGGGAAAAATATTCAAGAGCCCTGATTGCGTATAAGAACGATTAGACATGCTATACAAATTCCGTAGTCTGTCCCAACTTGTCTCAATTTTTATAAATGTCTGAGTTGAATAGCAAGTCTAATTAATAAAAAGAGATCTTGAAATGATGAACAACAGCAGTTCTTTCTTCTTTTTTTTGCATAGGTCTGTGCATTTGACTTAAAAGAGGAAAGGAACTTTGTATTCGGGTTTGTTTTATTTTTGTTCTTGGTACCACAGGTAAGCAAAATAATCATCGGAAAGTGTCAAGTGATATGTCATATTAAAGTGATTTGAACGACTTTAAAAATTTTTCTCAGTCTTAAAATAGCTTTTTTATACTTTATTTAAGCCATAAAAAATTAATTTTACTCAAAAAACCTAATTTTTGAGTAAGTTTGCGCCATTTTGAGAATCAAAAAATTTTCAAAATTCATTTTCAATATTTAAAAGTTTTCTGCAAAAAAAAGTAAACAATTTTTTGAAAATTTTTTTGACCAATTTTTTTTTCATTTTTCTAATCATTTTTCTACAAAAACTGTTTTCCATTTTGCCTATTTTATTATGATTGTCGAAGATGCATAATTTACATGCTATAAAAACCACCCGACTTAAGTAAGGTGAAGTAACCTGGATGATTCAAATTCAACTAAGAATCGATTGACGTAACTCTAACATGATTGATCATAAGTCAGATAGCCAAAATGTACGAAAAAAATTACGATAGATCAACTTTATATTGAGTTCAGGATGAAAATTCGAGCATACATATTTTTGTTAAATAGGGTAGTGTTCGCCAAATGGGTTAATACTCGCCAAATAGGGTAATATTAGCTTCAAAAAATTAGCCATGAAACATTTAGAAAAAGTTTGTATATTAATCAATGGTGCAAATTGGTTTTTGGGTTTTCTACACAAAAAAAATGTCCCTTTACCGGACTTCAATTGACTTATATCAATTATCAGAGAGATATCAAATAATAAGTGGGATTTGAAGATGAAAAGATGAATGACTCACCATAACGACTCGTCTAGGGGGCTGGGTGCGACAGTGACGCCTCCTGCGGGGAAGGGGAGGGGGTTCTTTGAGGTAGTCTTCTCCAGATAGTGAACAAAGTGTCTTTCGATCCTCTCATCGTTGGACACCCGCAGAAGTTTCATCAGTAGTTCCAATTGTTCTTCAAGGTACTCCATGTTAACCATATTTGGACCCAGATTGTCTAACGAGGAATTCATTCTACTGTCTGAATAGTTGCTATGACTCATGTCTGATCCGGAAAAGTATTTCACTTCTACTCTTTCCTGGAGTCCAGGTTTATGATGTTCCGACTGGTTAAAATGGCTAGAAATTGTTGAATTTCGTTCCATGGTTTTGCAAACCCTTTCCACGAATTATAAGCTGTTATTTTTCAAGTACAATTTATTTAAATTGTCTTTCGTTTAGCATTGCTTTAGCCCTGCTGAGTTTAGCAGATTTGACTTCCGTCTAAGCTGGGAAGCTCCTGCTGTGTTAGCGGATGTTATGTAACGAAGTTGTTGCTGTAATTTGCATTTTGACCCTTTAATTCAGTGGGTGGTTCTCAATTAATTTGACCGTGTTGTACACATCCAACGTAATCATTCTAGGTGATTCAGGAAGCGGTATTGACTGATAATCATTGATGGAGTTTGAAGATCTCGTACTCTGAAACATAAAGTTTTGTCAAACTCATACTAGACTGAAAGTATGTCACTATATGACCCGAGTTGAGGTTTTAAATGAAATGGTTGAATCAGATATCATAGTTCGAACTTTACTGATCAGCACCCTATTCTCTTAGATGGGTCTAATATAGAAAACCGAGTAGCTGATCTCGAATCTACTTGAGGCGGAGTTCTTATCATTTCTTGTCACTTTGTAAAAAGGACATTATTTAACTGTAATTTTAGAAGGTCTCAAGTCGTATTAACTCTTGTTTATCGCGCACAATGCATGACTTATGAATATCTTCCTTTTGTTAAATCACTCGGCTGATTTACCAAACAGAGGATACGTCATTGACCAAAAGACACAATACATTTCTCCCAAAGTCTAACGGAAATAGCTCAAAAATAATTTATAGTATTAGGCTATCCAGTAGTGTAATTTTCGTATGATAAATTCAGTATAAGAGCATTTGTATTCAATAACGAATTCAAGGGACATGGTTTTAGCACCACTGGAACGAGACCTTGCGGATGGCAGGTATCAAAGGAAATGAAACGAAGGTCAATGCCAAGAACGGACTGCAAAACCAAAACTATCAGAAACTGAGATGTTAATATATGAAATTCCCTTTTCTCACAAAATTTGAATTGCATATTTTGAAAATGAAAATAGTTTGCAGTAACTAGGCTGAGTATTAGATCATACGGGTCAACCTTCTCCCTGGGCTAATATGAACGTTTTGCAAAAGTTTTAATTAGGCGCCATTCGCCTCTTTCCGAATCTCCAAACTTTATGCGCTATCTTTTCCTCTCACTGATTGCTCTCCTTCCCGCTCGTGCCACGAGATCGAGTGATCATAACTGTCCCAACTTTGAGAAGGCCGTTCGTTTTCGCGTACTCTTTCTAGAGCCCGATTCATCCTGGCTAGTCGAATCTTGACTCGCTTTTTCCTTCGCCCCCATCCCTCGGCTATCCTTCTTCATTCCCCTCCGCATTTTGGATCCGGGCTCCTTTATCCTTCGCCCGTTCCGCACAGTCTTGGTTAACCGGTTTGTTCTCCTGTGGCACTCCGGACGCCGCTCGCGGTGCATCGTTCTTCTTGACCATTTGTTCCTTTGTAGTTTTATTTCGCGGTTTCGGTCCACTGGTTCCCTGGGCTTTTTCGATCGCCCTCGCTTGCGCTTCGACGCCACACGGTAGCAATGCTGGCCTGTAATCCGATCTGAGATCGAACCTCGTCGTCCCATGATTTTACCTTCGGCTTTTGGCTTTGCGTACCTGCTTTTCCGGTCCTCGGACTTTTATTCAGTGCGTCGAGCTTTCTCCAGAGGCTCGCCAAAATTGGTGGGCTTGAGACGTTCTTCACATTGGAGGCTTTCATTGGCATTCGTTTCTCAGCACTCTTTTTTTCTAAGAACAGACCCATTTTGTAACGTGATTGTGTGTTTAGATTCCTTGACTACCTTTTGTTTTATTAATTTGCACCTGTTGTTTTTCTCTCGGATTCGCTGGAAAAGTTACTAGGACCGTCGGCTAGGCCAATTAGTAGTGTAATTTGTCCCTTCATTAGTTGCAGCGCAAGGCACCCAATCGCGTGTCGCTAATTTTTTCATCACTTTGAGAGGATGATACATATTCTGCTGATCGTATTCGACATCCGACCGCATAATCCAGTTAGTTCTAGCGGGGTGCGTCTGAGCCTTTGGCGCCTCTGTGTCTAGACATGCAGATTTTTGTCCTAGAACATTTTTCCTTTTGAAAATCTGTAGTGACGGTTTTTGGTTAGGTTGCGTGTTTGCCTCACGGCCATGGTGTGCCTCAAATCGCGACATTTTTATCGAAGCGTTTGGCGAAAATCGAAGAGCATCGAGGACCATTTTAACCATTGCTTCTAATTTTCCGTGATCCTTTTGCTTAAGGTACGTAAGAATAAAATTCTTAATGTTTTTCAAAGTACGTTCCACGCACCCAAATGCCCTATGATTGTTTAATGGAGAGTAGACAGTTTCGATGCCCTCGGCTTTAAAACATTTACTAATTGCTTTTGAGGTAAAATTGGACCCTTGGTCCATGTAGATTTTCCGAGGGACCTCTGTTTGAAGAGCTATTTAGAAAGAAACTTCAATACCTTGTCGGATTTATTATTATTACATATCATTGCCGATGGCCATCAAGAAAAGTAATACATGTTTATCTGATTCATTTACATCTTTTAAAGGACCCCAATTGATAATATTCATTCGGCTCCGTTGTCTCATAGACGGTTCCTAAGTCATTCTTATGGCATACTGGTTTTTAGTTTCTACCTGCCGCTGTGCATGCTGGCTACTCCTTGGCCGCCGATGCTAGACTTCGATAGATTTATGGGAACCATATATCCCTAGCCAGGTTGCACATAATAGTGTCCCCAAGATGAAAGCTGTAAAGGCAATTATTCATGGGTCGTCGAAGCGTGATGGGAATGGCCAACCGTTCGTCCATCCACAGGCACCCATCCCTTACGTGAAAGTCTATGATGTACTGTCCCAAGTAGCCTCCCATGGCTTTCACCTTTTCTGGGAACTGAGGTTCGTTGTTCACTAGCATGTCCCGAATTGTCTCCAGTTGCAGGTCCGCCTTATAATTGGCCTTCACTAACTTAAGCTGGAAAGTTCCAGCAAGCATTCTGATTTCTTGGCCACCTTCCATCCTTTCGGGATTGCGCTCATAATTGCATTCGTAGCGTAAGCTGGCGGCTAAATTTCTCCAGTGAATTCAGATGGAATTGAAATTACGGTATTGGCCTTTGCCTCTACCGTTCCTGTGGTTCTGGCCTCTAATCGCTCGTTAATAACTTCGACCTCTGATGAACTATCGCTACTGGACACAATATCTGAACATTCAACAAGGAGTTTATTCAATATTTTTAATGAAGTATACATAATGGGGAAAATCAAGGAGTTACTTAATTCGCATTCAGGAAAAACTCCGAGTATTTTCTCGCTTTTGCAAATACTAGCGTTCTGATTGGCTGTTGTTTTGCCGCATGCATGGGAGCCCTCATCCGGTGACAATTGATGCTTGTGTTTGCATACTGCACTCTCATTGGCTTAATCAATGCTGTTTCTATTATTCATTGCGACTGTTCGTGATGTTTCAGAAATATAGCCAAAGGATTTGTTGATCAATGTAAAATTTGCTACTCTAAACGTGTTATTATATCTACTTATTCTCTCTGCTTCCCCCACCGGATGTCAAGAAAGGCAACCGGGGATTCCGTATTTTGCCCCCGCCATGTGTTCTATTACAAGTTTGCAATAAATATTCCGAAAAAAAGTTTCTGAAATATTCTGCGACCATACTACCGCTAGAATTTCGAATTCTTTTGTTGAGTATTTCCTTTCCGCTGCGTTTATGTATCTGGAGGCGAACGCAATCGGCCGGCAGCCCTCGGGGTCTAACTGTTCAAGCAACGACCCCATGACTGACGCCGCATACGAAACGTATGTATGTGTACATCGAAATGTTTCAGTTCAATGGTATTCGCTACTTGCGTTTTAATTGCTTGGAATGCCAATTGGCATTCCGTTGACCACAATAAATTGTTCTTCTTGCTTGCGGCCGTAATGGCGCGCCGACGTTTCGTTGAGCGCCGGTAGGTATTTATGAAGGCTATTTATTGAGCCGAAAACGTTTTCACTTGCGATATTGTTCTTGGTGGTTGCCAAATGTCAATCAAAGCTTTTCTTCGGACCAGCGGAGTGATGCCCCAGGCCGTAAATTTATGACTCGACCACTTGCACTCTGCTTTCGCGAGTTCGCGTTTCGACAGTTTAAACACCGTAATCTCACGATCTAGCTGGTGTAGTATTTTCTCAACGGTGGCAATATTTTCCAGTTCAGTGCCTTTTGAAAGGACTATAATGTCGTCAAGGAACGCATGAGCAATAGGAAGTTCGCTAAGAGTGAACTCCATTACCCTTTCAATTTCCGCCGGCCTTGTCGTGAGGCCGTAGAAGCCTCTTTTGAATCGATTAACCCTGGTCAATTTGCCCCCACCCAACCAGAGAAAAGTTACAGAAATGATTGCTTGTATCCTTACTTAATGGAAATTGACCGTACGCATTGATTAGGCCCATAGTTGTGAAATACCCAATTTTTTCTCGCTAATCGTGTGTCCAATTGTATCCATTAGTTCTTCACTGATCGGCATTTCGTACTTGATTTTATGTATCTGTTTAATCAGTTCTTGCGATTCCAGCGCTAACTTTACCGACCCATAATTTTTAACTGTAAAAACTCTCGGCGATAGGAAATATTTGTCCAAACACTCTTCGAGTTTTCGATGTGCTTTTGGCTTAAGAGTTTTTTAATTTCTTCATCGACTTTGTTTTCGAGCGTGATCGGAACGCGTCTGCCTTTTTGTTGCACTGGCATCAGTACCTTGAAGAATTCCGTTCGAACTTTATAGTTGCGAATGCGTCCTACCCTATTGAACAATTTATTTAATTGCCTACTGAAATGCAGTTGCCTATCATTTCGTGGCCTATCCGGCTGCTCCGATTGTACTTGGATGTCCATGACGTCATCGACGGCAGCTGCACCAATTGAATTCGCAACTCCAGCATCAGATCCTGCCCAATGATGGACCGTCTGCATCCCTATCACTTTGATTGACGTCTCCTCCGACCTTCCATTTGACGTCAGCTTCACCTTCATCTTCCCCATCAGTTTCAGCTGGTTGTTTTCGTTACCTGAAAATTGGTAATCATTCGGCTCCAAAGGTACTAAATTTACTTTCGCTGTACCCAACGTTGTTTTGAGTTCGCCGATTGTGACAATTGAAACTGGCGACCCAGAACCGATCCACGCCATCGCTGCTTTTCCATTATTTTGATCGGCAATCGTACTTCCGCCATTTTGAACTCCTTCTCCTCCCTTTTTTCCCGAATCGAAATGACAATGTAGTCGTGGAGCTAATGAAGTCCCACCGACGAGAGTTCGAACACTCATTGACC